ACCCTACCCAGCACCCTTCCCTCTCCCCACATTCGTCATACTATTGTCCACCGCAACAATCAGGGGCCCAGTAAGGACACTACATTACTCCTCCCCCATCACGCAGGGTACCTTTCCCCCCCCCCCCCTTTTGTTTCGGTCCCCCCAAACCCCCCCCCCCCCCCCCCCCCCACAAAGGTGTGTGGGGGGGTGCGAGGGTGTACTGTGTATGGATGCGGGAATGCACGGCACAGATGGGTACCATGGTATAGGTACGGTGCAGATGATAGACATGGCTAGCTACCGGACTGCACACCTACACAACCACCTTTGCAATCCCTATACCCGAATACAACACGAATACAACACGAATACACAATCCGCCAATTCCGCCCCGCCCCTCCCCCGCCCAAAAGCGGAAACATATCGCGGCCCCAACTCTCCACGCTACGTGTGTTTGAGATAGATTGCCTGTTGCCGCCGTTTGATTTGCAGACACGCGGGGAAAGGTGTGGAGGAGGTGGAGAGTGTAAAACAAAAACATAAAGCACACCTAGCCAATCCACACGTTTCATCATCATGGCTTGATTGATAAGCAAGCGAATAGTTCAAGATACGAATTGGAAATTGTGACATCTATCTACTCTCGTACTACATGCAATGGTATCACTGCCAACACAATCCGATTCCGGCTAGGTCCAGCCAGCCGCCCCTGCCCAGGCCTGCTGTTGATCCCATGGTGTCAATCCATGCATCAAAGAATTCAGGATCCAGTCCCCCGCCCTTTATATAAACGCCTCGTTAAGGTATCGGTCAAAGTTGCTGTCCCGGAAACTTGGAATCGCACTTTTGAAATCCGTGTTCTCAATCGCCGCCTGGGCCGCGGGCGTCATGCTCTCCCACGCAATCAGCGGCTGGTCACCGCCCTGTTCGTCCGTGCTAATCAACTGGTGGTTAGCCGGGAAATAGCTGATGTAGCCGACCTTGGGTCTGGTGCCGGATAGCTGCGGTCGCGTTTCCTTTTGGTAGTTGCCGTGCGCGCTGATGGCGACGCCGCGGATGGTGGCGGTGGCCGACTCGCCAGAAAGCCAGACGACGACGTTTTCCCAGTCGTGGCGATGGCCAAGCCCAGGGCCCGGAGAGTCCTTGGGCATGTACCAAGAGTACATGATGGCAAAGGCGCCGTTGTGCATGGCGGAGCGTGCGTACACTTGGCCGGGGGAGGCGTTGCAGCCGTCACTGGGACGGCCACTTGGGTTGAGTCCTCCACTATGGGGTTTATATTAGAAATTTTGGCTTTGTGAAGCTGGGATGAGAGGAATTACCCAGTATTGCCTGCAGAATCAACGACGGGGAAAGGGACACAGCCACCAAAGACCTTGAGAGACGGCTTGTACTTGAGATATAGTTCGCCCTTGACGCCAGAGGGCACAGTTTCACGGAAGCCGACTACTTTATCGTGACCGATAACTGCACGCTTCGTGAGGGCATGAGGCGATGCGAGGACGCAGGCGGCCAGGGCCAGGAGTTGGGTTGGCAGGCTGAGAAGCATCTTGACGAAGGATCCGGCTTTTGACTGATGAGGATGAAGAGTTGGAGGGAGGGAGGGAGAGAAAGAAAGCGGTTGATGCTTCTGATGGTGGCCTTGGACCAAGGAGCGAGCTGTTTATGTAGTATGTACGTAGACTCTTGGGTTCGGAACACATTCCTGTCTGTCTTTCACAGCCATCGTCAAGGCTAATGCAAGTGCTCAGGTGCTCAGAAATATCCTCGGCATCATGTTCGATTCCGGGCCAGGACAGCGACGCTTGAATTTCTTAATTTGTATCCTTGCGGGGGTAAAATAAAGCCCTGTATAGGGTCAGACATGGGGTGGAGCTGCTTCGTCGAGCCCGCCCATTCGCCCTGGACCGAACACACTAGGCACCAGCTAACAGTGGATCTATGGAGAGTGGACAGCGATAGCGCACAGGCTACGAAACAGCGATGGCTTCCGTCATTGGTGTCCACCTATACGCTTGCAACCGTGGCCCATGGGCCTGGCGGTAGAGGGTCGACTGGGTGGACAGCGGATGGCTGCCGAAGCAGTGTTTTGCCCTGGCATGGGCAACGATTGAACGGGAACAA